CCCGGTAGAGGCGCTTGTCGTGGCTTTTGATTCCCTGAAACAAAAGACCTGATCTTAGACAATCGAAGTCGGATGAGGGAGGCATTCAATAACCGGCTTTTCGCGCACAACCCGACCTTCGATTTACAGGGCTGTGATCTCGTGCTCTGTCATCTGGACCTTGTACCTCGACATATCATCCGGAAGGAAGATGGCTCCCTGTGTCTTATTTATTGGGCATCGGCGGGCTTCTATCCAAGATTGTTGGAGTTCTGTGTGCGGTGGATATTGGATGGAAAAGATAAGAAGCTGCATTTCCCTTCTCTTGGAGTCCGGGGACCCTTTAACAGATCATGAAATGGCACCGAAAGAGGCTATTCTAGTGTGCGATGGGACATCCAAAAGTATCCATTGGAAGTTTCAGAGAGCTCCAGGTATCTCCTCGGTGACTGCTCACCTGCCTTCAGCCGAATCAAAACGTTCACATCGCCCCCAAAGCTTATCGAGACCTTCGATCTTCTCCCCACACCCGCTTGTCTTATGCCAGATTAGTCTTCTGAATGGTTTGAGAAGGCTGGGTCTAATTGCTCTATCCCGCCGAGCCCTAAACGTGTTGAATCTTCAAAAGCGCCGTTGCGGAAGATCGAAACAAAGAACAAGTTTTGCCAAGTTGGCATCGAACCTTTCATCCAGCAAGAGCGCCCGCGAAACAAGCTCTTTATGACGATCGGATAACCCGATGAAAAGGAAGACCCTACTGGCACAGTGGTCTGACCCCCTTTAGTACAGTAAAAAACACCCTTTGGGGAAGAACCAGGGATCAGTTAAAGAGAAAGGAAAATCGATAGAGCACTAAGCGGCATACATCGTACTGATCTGCGCCAGGTAATCCAAACAGTGCAGCCAATGCAGGCTGTCTTTTGGCCAGTCCGATGCCTCATGTTGATGCGCTTTCTAAAGAGCGTATCCCGAATCGTCGTCAGGCAGTGACGCTGAATAGGGTTACAAGTTAAAAAGTCACCATGCAGAGAGACCTACAAGCGGTCTAAAGGAGGAATTATAGAGGTGAATTTCAGGCCAAATCCATGCATTCAGGCACAAAACTGATGCAAGGACGATATTTATGCAGGAAAGTATGGACATGGAAATCGAGGTGGGATTATAATATACAAGTGCCGTTTGCTAAAGGCGGAAATTAGTCGGGATTTATAGATGAGATAGGTCGAATGCCGGGTCCGTCAGATGTGTACTTCCAGGTAACGAGCCTGGAGAATGAGTCCCAAGAGGAAATCCACACGGAATTTTGGCTCTATCCTGGGCTTAACTAGTGGCACGGGAACATCTCAGAGCAGGTTCGCTCCTCTCGCCTTCTTTGATGGGTGCGCGGGGCGGGGCAGTATAGCTGGATCCAGCGGGCCACGTTTAGCATCAGGTCCGAGGCACTGAGACAAGCACTGCTGTCTTCCCGGGTAGACATTTCAAGTGAGTACCTGCCTCACAGCCCAGCCACGACCCCCTTGGGAGATAGAAATCGCAGATGCGAGGTTGAAGGGATCATGGCACATACTCATAGCGCCGCCAATTTTCCTGAACCCACCACTTCGCCACATGGGACGCGTCCCTGATCCACTGCACCGCATCTTCTCCGTGCTGAGGCAAGACCAGGTTTATCAAATTCTCAAGATCAAAATCCTGGAGTCCGTGAAGTTCGTGGGGGTCGGTCTCTACATCCGTGAACCGCCACTCAAGGTCAGGAATGACGGGAATGATGAGGCGGTAAGGCTTCGCAGCGGATCGCAGGGCAAGCCATGTTCCTCCAGTATTCATGACTGAGAACTGCCAGTTTTGCTTTCCATCTTTTTCTGCAAATGTGGGTCGGATCATAGATTGCCCTTCGTACATAGGGAGAAGATCTTTGATAACAGAGAGTGATGGTTCGTTGAGGGACCCAGATTCCGATAGAATATCAAGAATTGTGGGGAGAATTTGGATTGAAGCCACTCGAGAGTCGATCTCGATAGGTGGTAGTTGGGGGTGCGCAAAGACAAGAGGGACGTGGAAGCTGGCGGTATGAGGGTTGAGGTATGGAGTGACACCGCTGTTCTCAGGGAGTGAAACACCACTGGCGGGGTTAGGGTTCATTTGTTTAATTGGCCGGATACTTTGGAGGTCTGGTACTTACTGATCTCCCACCATCACGACCAGGGTCTCATTGGCAACACCCGTTTCCTCCAGGATGTTCAACAACTCGGCGAGCCATTTATCGACAACGCCAAGCGTATTGAGGTAATGGTTGACCTTGTTGTTCCTTCCCACCCAGCCGTGGCTAATCATTTCCTCATACTCCTGGCCCTTCGGTGCATCCCAAGGTTGATGCGTAATGCCCGTCAAGTGTGAGATGAATAGTCGTTCCTTCTGCTTCTCTGCTGATTTGATTGCATTGCGATAGTAATCCGCGAGCTCTGTTTCAGGGTATCCCCAGAAATTGAACTTCTCTGGTTGACGGCCACCCTGCTTCGCACGGTCCTCGGCAATGTTGATGTCGGTTACTATGTGCTTGAAGCCCAGCGTGGGCGTAAGAAGGTTTTGGTTGTCGTAGCCATCTGTGATGGCCTGCATCCATATTGATCGCCAGGGCCAAGAGGTGTAGTTTTCCGTCCTGGTCTGGTTGGCCTGAGAGTTTAGTGCCTCCAGGATGTGTGGCATGCATGGTTGGTAGAGGTGGTGCAGGTATTCGCGATTGAAGTCCACGACCAAGGGAGAGATACCGCACACCGTCGCCAGGATACTCTTCAGGGTAAAGGTACCGCCCGTATAAGCGTTGGTAGCATGGAATCCTCCGTAAGGCTCAGTTACATTCTTATTTCCATTAAACCCGGAAGAAGTAGCTGTCAGTCTCTCTGCGGTGGGTGTTAGATTTGCCAGTCTTTCTTCCACCTCCGCAGGGAGATGGCCATTTTGAAACGATTTGCGAATCGTATCCCCAAAGTAAGAATCCTTGCGGAGTGGAAAGACATCTGCACGGGTGCTTTCTAGCTTGAGAAGCAAGACATGCTTGATCTTGACGCGGCCACTTTGTAGGGACTCGCGGAGAGACTCGAGGACTTCATTTTCCAGGTTTGAGATATGAAGGGGATCCTGTCCTGGATCATAATGCACGCGTGTAGTAGTGTGATTGACATTTTCATACCAGTCACTGAACCCGGCCAGTTTATCGTGTGGCAGCCACTCAAACGGAGGCGGTGCTGCCAGAGCCGTGTGATTGCCCAACCAACTGTAAGCGCCGGTCAATTCAAGTAGATCAAATGATGATGGCGCGCGAGATTGGTCTTTGTCGAACGGTGTGACAATGACAGTCTCGGATAGGAAGTGATAGGCAGAATTAGAAGGGCGAATGCAGCGCAAAATGACCACCAAGCCAGTGAATGTGAGAACAGCGACTCGCAACCAACGAGAACGCGAAGCTTCATTTGTTACATTTGCTTGGGTTGCTTCCGCTTCCCGCGATCCCGGGCCCAACTGAGCAGTACTTCGATCCTCATCCCAGTCCTCAGGCGCAACTCGCTCATATCTTTTCAAGATTGGAGAGGTTCGTTGCCTGCGACAGGCAGATGGCAGAAGACCCCTGAAGTTTGACAACAATCCCTCGGTCCAATTATATAGACGCGGGGTGGACACCCAGGATGTAGCAACAAATACCATCTCGACGATAATTAAGCCCGATAGTCCGGTAAGCATCGTTTTGACTGCAGCCGTGTCACCGTGAAAGTTGTGCGCTTGTTTCCAGTGGATCTCGGCCCCAGTTGCAATATAGAAAGAGATATTGGCGGCTGACAGACCGGATATTGCCAAACTAGACAAGAAAATTCCCTTTTAGCGATGATCTCACTCAACTCCAGGCAGGGAATTCGTACCTAGTTGGAATGACCAGCAAGGCCACTATGGCACGTGTCCAGCGATGCTGGTAATCAGCACACAGAATGTGGGTGAGCCATATACACACTACATCTTGTAAAAAGAATGTTGGACCCCAGATGATCAATTGTCCGAGAGGTAATGAGTTCAGATGCGAGTAGATGTGCAGAATTTTGGCGCAGAGAACGGCAATAAATGAGAGAGAGAACCAATACTTGCGCGAGGCTGGCCACCAATGATCGAACCAGACAGTTGGGGAGAAAGCTTTCCGTAGAAAATTGCGAGAGCCATCTCGGGCCTTGTAGCCAAACCCCATGTTTCTTAGTTTATGCCGACCTTAAAGCATGGCACTAGGAAAGACTAGGATTGACTAGGATTGACAACAATAAGCAAAATCGAAAGAATAAAAGGAAAAGAGGCGAAAAAAGAGGATCTCAGTAGATACACAATACTTTTTCAAGTCTCGAACCCTGGGACAGGGGAAAGTTTATTAAAAAGATAATTTGAAAAATTAAAAAAAAAAAAAAAAAGAACTACAAGGGTCCGTTCCAGGGCTTCGGACAAAACAGTCTACCCTAGAAAGATTCACCACCTCCACAATGGCGGTGTAGAGATCTGCAAAATTTAGTCCTAATGAAATTTAGTACTCTGTATTCACCATGTATTGCTTTGCTCTTGAATTCTTCCTTCTTCAACTACCC